AAGGTTCTTACTCCAATCAAAAATCGAGAAAATTATAATGGTACATTTTCGTGCTCTTGAAAAGACACAACATTCGAGGACTTTGTTTTTGTCATCGAGATTCTCCCCTATAATGTTTAGTCTCTATTTGGTAGAGGTTAAAATATAATTTTTAGTAGAATTTGACAAAGTTGATGAAGCGTGTGATTAAAAAGTTGTGGATCCCATAAAATATGTAATAAAAATTTGTTATTTTGTGAAATCAATGCTTGAGTGCCATGGGAAGTGCTTTCGTTGTCGCTCGCCTATAGTTCGCTTACCGCTCGAGCGTTGTGCGCCACACCCTGGTGTGAGGCTGCTGCTCAAGTGGCATATATATAAGAAAATTTGTCTCCTTCTTCTGACGTAGTTTTTTATCCTCTTTCGAACTACAACATATTTTTTTGGTCTTATATATAGTCCACAATTGTATGACTTTAGTATGAGTTTGACAATATTGTAAACACAATATTTTGTATTCTTTCTTCGTATTAATGAATTCTCCATTCCTCTACCTATTTCTTGTGTTCTTCTTGTGTTGTGATTGCTACTTTATATTTTGCCATATACCACGTTATTCTCTAATAAGTGGTGTTAACGCACATAACTATTTGGTTAGATTTGTTAACAAGTGGTATCAGAGCTTAGTTAAGGATTCGATTTGTTTGAGGTTTTTGTTTTTATGATGGCAATTATGAAGTATGATATTCGGCTTTTAAATTATAGCATTATATTTTCGTTATGGCAAGTGAAAAAGCAAGAAATGCTTGCTCAGGTAGATTTGGACAACACTTTGTCGGAATTTTGCAAGATATCCTCAAATTGGTGGATAGAGGAAAAATAATTACGAATCAAAAAACCCTATCACAGATTTATATTCATGTTTTGAATCATATTCTTCACGATGTTTTGAAGAAGGAAGTTGCAACTGCATTATGGTTGAAGTTGGAGCAATTGTCCATGATTAAGAGTCTAATTGGCAAATTGTACTTGAAGCAAAATTTATACTCTCATCGTATGATAGAATGTACATCCTTAGAAAATCAACTTGATGTTTTTAAAGAAATTATCATTGATTTAGAAACCTTAGAGATTAAATATGTTGAAGAGGATTTTGGATTTGATTTTATTGTATTCGTTGCCTGCTATATATATGTCATTTAGAGACATAATTTTATATAGTTATAATACTCTCATCGTTGAAGAATTATATAATGCTTTACTTTTAAAAGAGAAAATGAAGCATCGTGTTGGATCTGAAGCTCAGGGAAATGACCTTGTTGTTCATGGTAGTTATGAGAGGGGTAGTTCGAAGTCTAACTTTGATTAAAAAAAAGTTTGTAACTACTACAAGAAAAAGAAGAACATCAAGAAGGTTGCTACAATTTGTAAAATAAAGAAAAATTGGTTGCAATTAAGACGAAAAAGAAACTAGAAAGTCAGGTGAAGCCAACGTTGCAGAAAATTATTACAGTGACGAAAAACTTCTGATTATTTTTTACGGAAACTCCAAATCTTACGAAAATTTGATTCTTGATACAGCTTGCACGTTTCATAGGTGTTCCAATCGGGGATTTGTTTTCAACATATGAAACAGTTTCATAAAGTATCGTGATAATAGGTAATAACGAACCTCATAAGATAGTTGGTATTTGATGAATTAGAATTAAGATGTTTGATGGGATGGTCACAACGCTCGATGAAGTGAGGCATGTCCCAGATTTGAAGAGAAATTTGATCTCATTGGGTACTCTTGATTCAAAAGGGTACAAGCACTCTGGAGAAGGTGAAGTTCTAAAGGTTTGTAAAGATGTCTAGATCGTGTTGTAAGGATAGAGAATGTCCTAGTTATATGTTTTACAAGGTTATGCAGAGTCTTTGAAGATCAATCAGCATAAGTTTAGTTCATTGGTGGATTTTCAGTTTGATACAGTATTGTTGGAGTTTGGTTTGAGATCTATATTGAATAATACTTCTCAGTCCAGTTCAAAAGTTATGAATAATGCCGCTTTATCACCACCACCAATAGTGTCATTGTATTCAATTGCTAGAAATTGACCCAAAAGAGATATCAGGCCTCCATAAAAATATGGGAGAGTTGATTTAGTTGCATATGATAGTGTGGTTGAAAGTATTGAATCTAGCAAAGAATCTTCCATAGGAGCATTTTGTGGTGTTGACTGTACTCAAGGAGTGTTTCAGTCATGTTTGGTAATTTTTGAATTTTTTGTGAATTTTTGTTGGTGCTGATAATTCAGGCAACTTTGGTGCTCGAGATCATCCTACTGAGCAGTGCTTGGATTCAGTTGATTAGGTTTGTCCACTTGGATTTTGTGGAAGAGGGGAAGAAATATATGGATGGAGTTTTGTTGAAGAGCCATTGGTTTGTTCCTTGCAGTTGAATTTGTCTCCAAGTGAAGAAATTTTTGAAGTTTGTTCATTGCAGTAGAATTTGTGTCAAAGTAGATATTTTTTATTTTGTAACCCAAATTTCGTCGAATATGCGTAGATTGTTTGAAAGAGGTTTTAAAGAGGTATATGAAGTTTTTGGAGCAGCAATTGGAAGCTTAGGCACTCAATTCAGGTACCTAGGTGCCATTTAAGGTGTTTAAAATCAATTTGGGACCGAATCTCAGTGCCTGAACGCTATTGGAAATGCTTCAACTCACTGCTCGTTTATCGCCTGCTTATAGCTCAAGTGTCCCGCGCCGCTCGCTTGGCTTAAGGTTGTCGCTCGAGTGATGTATATATCTAAGGAAAATTTGTTTCATTCTTTTGATGCGATTTTTTATCCTCTTTCAAATCATAGCATATTCTTTTGGGTTCTCTATATAGTCCATGAATTATAAGGCTTTCATATGACTTGTTATGAGTTAAACAACATTGTACACTCAATATTTTACATGTTTTCTCCATATTAATAAATCTCAGTTCATCTAGCAAATTTCTTTTGTTCTTCTTATGTCGCAATTATTATCTCATCTTTTGCCATATAACATCATTATTCTTTAACACAGGAAATCCCCCAAATGGTCACTGAACTTTGCCAAAATCCCCTAGGAGGTCACCGAACTTCACTTCGTCCCTAAATGGTCACAGAACTTTGCCAAAATTCCCTAGGAGGTCATCGAACTTCACTTCGCCCCTAAATGGTCACTGAACTTTGCTGAAATTCTCCAAGAGGTCACTCAACTTTTGCAAATTGGGACCCCATGCATAATAAGTTCAGTGACCTCTCAAGGATATTTTGCAAAGTTTAGTGACCATTTAGGGGCGAAATGAAATTCGGTGACCTCTTAGAGGATTTTTGCAAAGTTCAGTGACCATTTAGGGACGACGTGAAGTTCGGTGACCTCCTAATGGATTTTGGCAAAGTTTGGTGACCAATGGAGGGATTTCCTCTCTTTAACATGTGGTATTAGCATGCATAACTACTTGGTAAATTTTGTTAACAAAATTAATTGTTGACTTTGACTTAATCCGAATTTTGATTTTTCACCAAGTAAATGCTTAGCAATTTTATAGAATCATAAGATGAGTGCATGGTGAAGAGGACTCCCATTCGAGGATTTGACGTAGAAAAAAGATAGTCTTCACTTTTTCTTTGTTGGCAACGGAAGCTATTCATCTCTACATTAGCTTAGAGATGCTAAGACTATTAGTATATTTTACAATTCAAGCTTATTCCTAAGTTGCCCACAGTTCACTGTTTTAATCCCTTGAACATTTTGAGATTTGTTGCCTGAAATTCCCGTTTGCTATTATCTATGTGGTTTAGGTAGATTGTTTCCAGCTATAAATGTAGATTGCATAAGATTCTGCGTGCTTTGATGGTGAGACATATCAATTGCTTCTAACTTCGTAATTCTATTTGTAACACCATAACACTAGATAGTGATCCAAACCAAGAACTGGAAAACAGCATTGGAGTTTTCTGAAGAATATTAAAAAAAAAAAACCCAATAGTGACCTTCTTGGGAGAGGCTGTCGCTATTGAATCTTAGACAAAACTCCAATCATTGTCTGGAGGTTTTGGAAATGTTGTAAAATCAAAATTAGATGGGTTTTTAATAAGAGAAAATGATTGTGAAATGGCGGTGTAGAGTACAAAAGGGAGAATAAAAATGGGTTTTGAAGATTCGAAAGGTAATTTCGTGATAGGGAGGAATTTTTCTTTGGAGCTTTGTGTGTGGGTTTGGTTTCAATTTGACGATAGAGGCAAAGAAGATGAAGATGAGAAGAGGGGGTCAGAGAAGGGGTAGGGATAGTGATAGCAATAGGGTGGGTTCGAGGTGGGGTGCCTTACCCAAACCCCGCCCCGCCTACGATGGGGCAGGGCTCGAGGACTGGGGCGATGACTTGCCTCGTTTGTCGCCCTCATTTATTTTTTTAAATTTTTTTATTTTATTATTATTATTTTTTATTTTTCCTTGTATCTTGCCCTGCCTCACCCCACCAACTTGTCGAGGCGGGTTTTTTCCGCCCATTTCATAGGGGTGGGCTGGAACAGATTTTTCCTTTTGTTTTTTTTTAATTATTTTGATTTTTAATATTTGGAAAAATGTTAATATACCATCATTACCAATTTCAATTTGATCAAACTTTTATTTTCTTGGTCAACTAACGATCAAATTGATGGAATCCATCCATTAGACATTGTGCTCAACAAAATGAAAGGTTTGGAACGGTAAGAAACAGAGGAAATCCCCCAAATGATCATCGAACTTTGCCAAAATTTCGTAGGAGGTCATCGAACTTCACTTTGCCCCTAAATGATCACTGAACTTTGCTGAAATTCCCCAAGAAGTCACTCAACTTTTGCAAATTGGGACCCCACGCATAATAAGTTCAGTGACCTCTCAGGGATTTTTCGCAAAGTTTAGTGACCATTTAGGGGCGAAATGAAGTTCGGAGACCTCTTAGATTCCCCCAAATACAGACAAGAGAAAACGAAAATTTGGAGCCAAACCATCCACAAAATTTAAAGCAAAAACCAAAAATTAAAATAACTGAATCCCACACACAATAATCAACCGCTTTAGCTATTCAATTCCATCACGCATTCAATCATTTCGCCAGAATTTTAAACAAAAATAATCGTATTTTTTTCCTTAAAAATTGTCTCCTGTTGAATTGATTTTCAATGAGCAATTTACGAGCAATATGTAGGCCGCACAGTGTGTTCTCCTCGATGACATGTTGTTACAGATCGATTATTAGGGTTTCTTCTACTGTAAACGCTATTACCAATCTCGGATCTCGATCATCATCAAGGCCTTTAGTGTTTGCTGTTTGGATTGATAGATTTGGAGCACAGAAGAAGAATGAAGCGCGAGTGAGATTGAATCAGCAGAGAAGGATGGTGGCCACTTGGGCTTCTAGTTGGACCGATCAGAAATCTCCCTATGAAACCCTTGGTAATTATTTTCTTTATTTTATTTTTTTCTTTAACTTATTCTTTTAATGATTTTGATTTTTTATTTTTGGGCTCACACTATTCTGTTTGTTTTGTTGTTACTTTTCAAATATTATTTATGAAAATGAGAAAGATGTTCAGGATGTTTAAGTTGGAAATTGCAATGTGTGGTATATTGATATGAGCTGGGGTACTTGTAAATTTGTAATTAACGAGTCAGGTTCAGTATAAACTCATGAAATGATAATCTTTAACTTTGATTAAAGTGAGTGACAACTGTAATTCCGTTGATTTATTTACATAATTATTAGGTAGATATATGGGAATGTCAGTGGATTGTTAACTTTGATAATTAAAACAACCCACACAACGTTGGACTTGAACTCGGTCTGCCAAGGTTTTTATTGGTGATGACCTTAGTCCTTTATAACTCTGGACCATGACATCATTAGTTGGTAAAGCACACACTTTATTGTCATCATTCAATTAAAAAATTTGGGAGCATTATTTGCAAATTGCAGCACTCACATGCTCATTTTTGAATGTCTTATGTGCAAGAAAATGTGGCAGAAACATGGAATTGTGTCCTTTGATGACGAGATTAGTCCAAACTGACTAAAGTTCCCTATAATATGCACAATAATAATAGTTATTCACTGAATTCTTCGTTGCCTATGGCTAATTCAAATTCTTGACTGAAGGATTTCATCTCTTTCAACCATTTTGTAATCTCTCTTTTTTACTTTTCCAATCTTGTTGCCCTCACTGTCCCATCATACAAAAGATAAATCAAATATCTTTGTTATCAAATATGTATATGATAACTCTCCATTATCTTCTCATTTCTCTATTCTTATTATTTGTAGGACATTTCCACAGTTGTGATGCTCAGTCCAGTGTTCATTATTTTCAATATTATCTTCAGGAGGACATTTTTTTGTAAATATCAAACAAAAAGATGTAATCAATATATTGAAAAACTGACCTAAGGTATGTACATAAAATCATCACATGGTGTTCGTCCGAGATTAAACATGAATATGGAATTGATACACCATTTTGCATTACAATAACATAGATCTCAAATATTAAACTATTAAGCATGGAACTAAAATGAACTCAAAACATGTCAAAGCTTCAACAAATGATTAGCCAAAATTCTTTCTATCTTATCAGCTGATAAAATACATAATATTACACGAAGTTGTTAGGGTTCTAGCTGTTGAGAGTGCATGAAAAACTTGTATTCAAATATTTAATCTTTCTAATGATAATGCTAGGGTGCTTATGAGAAGAGAATACACTAGATAGACATTTTTCATAAAGTCAATAACAGTACTTATAAATTGCCTATGTTCAAAACAAGTTGTATTAGGCAAAAATGTCTGTAGCTTCACATACGAGACAAAAGCAGCGGTTTGCCTTGTAAGTTTAGTGGTTCCACGAAAAGTGTGGAGGAGTCAACTTTATAAGTTTATAAAGATAATCGCAATACTTCTCAATAATCCCACTCATAGTCTTCACTTGAACCAGGCATGATATTCAGATCAGCGCCCCTGGAGATTTCACCATAAACAAAAGTCATAATACTGGCTTGCTTGCATTTGTTTTGGGCGCATAAAAATACTATGCCTTTGTCTTGTACTCTTTGCAATCTCGTTCTGAAGGATCTCTTTCAGTAGAACATCCTTCAACATGTTGAATACCTGTGCTGCTCGTACACGAATTTTAACCAAATGAATTGATAAAAGCTATTGAGAACAGCTTACTAAATGAAAGGATAAGTACCTATGTCAATGGGGAACGACATTGTTCCATATGATAAGAGTGTTTTGTTACTCTTAAGACTAAAAACTCAATGAATGAATATTTACAGTAAATGGTAAATTCAGCGATGAAGAGCAGATTAATAACTTTGAAAAGAAAGAAAGAAAAAGGGTTGGTAGATCTTAAGGAGATGAGGAAACAGCAGAAAGTTTTGCCTGTTGAGAGTTTAAGAGATATATCTTACTTGGTGGTACAATGAGAGCCACAAGATTGAGAAAGGTGATTAAAAAAAGAAAAAAGAGAGTGTTTTACAAGCTTGTTGGAGATAGAAGCTCTCCTTCAATTATGGAGGCTGATAATCTTGGCACGTACAATATAAGTGCTTGTAGATAATACACATGCACGTTTTGGATATCATCATTTGCTACATCTTTCTTTTCTTCTATATTTGATGGCTCAATTCATTTGACTCCTTTTCCGTTCAGAGTTATTCATATTCTTAAGGTGAATCAAAGCTTTCTGCTGTCAATGTTCTTGAAAGATTGCTTTTTGGCAGTCAAAAATTCAAGCATTCTCGTTTGTGAAGAGCCTCTAATCCTAGTTTATTTTCACCTTTTTCACGGTTTCATTTCTTTTTTGAAGTTGTTTTATAGTAATTAGATGTGAATACTGATGCAAAACTTCACCTTTTTAAATGCAGAACTAGAACGCGATGCAGATGAAGAGGAAATAAAGGTTGCCTATCGACGCTTGGCAAAGTTTTATCATCCTGATGGTTTGCTCTTAAGCTTTGCTTGAAATTTTTTAAATGCATGACTCAGATATTATGCATTGTAATAAGAAGACACAATTATATCTTGATAGTTTCCTATTATGTTCTTATTGGAGAAAATCTTAATCCTTCTCAAACATCCTTTAGACATAGCACCACATTTTTTTCCTTCACATGTTTAATATTGAATCATATTTTGTCAATTATCTGAGGTTTTGTGGTATTCATAAAAAGACAGAAAACACACTCAAAAAAATAAAAAATAAAATGATGCAAAGAAGACAGACTGTGTTAACTAAAATAGTTTGACAAAGAATCATGATACATGGCATAAAAATTAACATGCATGATTTTTGTCATCATGCAAGTCCCGGCTTCTACTCTCTAAATACATATAGGACCTTAAGGACTTTCTGTGTAATTTTAGAAACTCAAATTTGTTTCTAAAATGAAGACAAAAATATTTGTTTTGAAGAAATCATGATTGCTATGGGGTAGGTAAAAGTTTGAACTCTAGGATGCCAGGAAAAAGATCTTGGGGTGTTATTTTCACCAGTGACAAAAGCAGTAACTCTGCCAGTAGTGAAGGATTTTACTTTACAAATGTTTATATGGGCAATGTGATATGGATATTTGGAAAAGGCAAGAAATTATTGACTTTCTGGTTGATAGGGGTGGTTTTATTCTGTGGGAGCGTGACTTAAAAAAGATGAAAAATCTTGAAATTTGGTAAGAACCCAGGATTGTTGGAAATGTTATAATTTGTTTTAGATAAGTTATAATTTATTTTCAATCACAATGGATAGATGCACCACAACAGATTCGATACTCATTTGGTATTTGTTTTGGTACAAGTGCACCATTGGGACCTTCTACGTGAATTTATCGTCTTTCTTCAAGGTCCAATCTGTGAACTACTGAAAATCCAAATGAACTACACATGATATTAGCTATTTAGCTGCTTTATTTCCCTTTAATGTTGCCAAACTATTTTTACGTTCAAATGATTTTACCATTGCCACTATCTATATGTATTTTAATTTGCATTCCGTTGTCAAATGCATTGCCATGGTAATACACAGAGACCTAAGCGCTGGAAAATCATTCTAAGCCTTAGAAATGAGACCTGACTATCCGAACTTCAGGTGACAAATACACAGATCCCAGATGCCCAATTCATGAAGGAGCAAAACTTATCTACCACTCATTAAAAAAAAGAAAAAAAAAATCTTAATTAAAACTTTAGCACAAAAGAGGATTTCAAAAACTCCAAAACCCAAAGGTGAGAACTTTCAGATGCTTAACTACATAAGAAGACACTTCAATCCCGAAATAGGCAAAGCGGAGAAGCAGTTGTAATGCCACATATCAATGAAGCTACCTACAATCCAAAAACATAAAAATAGTTACAGTGTTCTCTCGTCAATCAAAAAGCAGAGCAAATACCAAGTTCAATCTTCAGTTCAATTGAAAAAAGGAACGCAAAAGAGAAATCAAATCACAAAATGATAAGGATAAAAATGGTTAAACTAGGCAATTGTTTTATTCCCTTTTAACCCCAAATCTAACCCTTTTTTTTTGGCAGAATCCGAGTGTATAATCTAACAACTAAAGATGAACTACTCTGCAAACTGTGGCATTTTACAAGAAAACTGAGTGGTCAATAGACACTCAGAAAAGAATAAAATTCACCAAGAAGGATAATTGGATGCGTCCGGTGGAAAATAATAGACTCGCCGAGTAAACTAAGTATATTATCTCTCCCTATCTTCTTAACTCCTACAAAGAGTGAAAACTGACTGTATTCTTTTTTCCTCAAATTTCAGTATTGGATCTTAAGAAGCTCTGTCACTGCTGGTTGATGAGGGCATGGCAATGGACAATTACGCTGTGATAGTAACATACCTGATAACTGGACTTTATGTTCCTTCAGGAATAACTAGACAATAATGAGGTTGATTAGTTCTACTTATTAAGTTGGATGGATGTGAATAAGATTTATTAGTTCATAATGTCTCCATTAGGAGTCTGTTGGAACTGAGAAACAACTTAAGAGAAAGGGGAACTTCAAGGAGAGCATCCAGGGAGAAACCATAAAATGCACTCTCAGCTGAGTCTCTTCTAGCGAAGAAAGGAAATGATCTATGGTTGAAGTGCTGAAAGGGTCCTGGATCCTTACTATAAAGTCAAAAGAGTTGCAATTTATAAAATTTCGGTTTATAATGGTATTGCGGGTTCCTATAAAAGAAGACAGTGTATGGTAGTCATAATATTTTAAGAAATAAGGGCAGAAGCTGAAGTGTTCAGAAGGTATAGTTTTCGATAATCTTCCCTCTTTTATTTGTATATATCAGCACTTGATCTTGTGGCAGACTTTCTTGCTCACGAGCCTTGCTTCTAGCCGCTAAGTGTCAATTCCTCAGGGTATCCATGGAGTATAGAGCTCCTCATTAGGACATTTTGGTTTGATCTGGACCTCTATGGGGGGTAGACCATGTTGGAAATGGCTTGATGCCTGGATGCTACATGATATTGATTCCTTGAGGAGTTGAGGTAATTAGTTGGAAGGAGATGAGGCATTTAGGTAAGATTTTGTGCTGTCTCTTTGAAAAATTCTTAGCAGTATTGCTCTCTACAGAGTGATGTTTGAGTAATTCTTGATTATATATGCTCTACCCCTTTTTAATAACCGAAGTAATTCGAAGCAGTGAAGCAACTTCGGACGAATGAACCTCACTTCACATGACGTAAGGCACATGTTTAACTTTTACAATCAAATCTGGAAACCAAATAAACATCTTGACTTGCACATCAAATAAATTCATCCACACTATCTAGCCGCATATATAGCCTAGAGTGATCATGAAGAAGGATCTCTAAGAAGTGGGAATTAGAAAATTACAAATTTATGATACTTCTGCATTTTACATGGCACTGCTTTTTGTTTCTTTCTTGATACGGGATTGGAGAATCGATTTTTTTTTCTATGCAATTCATTCATTTGTTAGCATGTTGCTTTATGTTATTTCTTGATTTTACTTGTTACAATAAACTTTTACCGTTGACGCTTTTGCAATATTAATTTCATAAATATGTTATTTTTCTCTAAAAAGGGTGGTTTTTAAATTCGTATATTGTATACGCAACGTTATCATCATCACATTATCATAGTATACAAAGCAAAATTTGAGTGAGTTTTATTTCACCAGACTACAAACATAAGCAGAGGTCTAAGAGTAACTGATGATATTGTAGAATTTTGTATGAGTTTGAAAGGGGGAGGCCAAGAGGTGGGCTGGGGACCTCAATTTTATCCTTGATGGGCTTGGTTTCCTTCCCCTTCTTGGGTATTAAGCTACCGTATGACCCCTTAAATCTCCTCTCCTTTAGGTCTTCTTATTGCCTAGCCTACACAGGTCAGAGCCCCTGTAGATAGGTAGGCGGAGGAGAATTCCACTCGATGTTCGATGCTAACATTATCCGCCACATGCCACGCTGGAGAACTGCATAGTTTCGTTTTTTTGCCACATAAATTCATATTCCCTTCTTAATCTGTTTAATTATTCCTGAAATCTGAACTTGCATTTTACATAGTTCGCTGTAGCTTTAAGATTGTTTCATTTGGGAATGAAACTAATATGTTTATGTGTACCAATTTTAAGTTTATGATGGCAGAGGGACCTTAGATGAAGGAGAAACAGCTGAAGCTCGATTTATAAAGATTCAGGCTGCTTATGAGCTCCTTATAGATGTAGAGAAACGGAAGAAATATGATAGTGACAATCGAGTGAATCCAATGAAGGTGAAAATGATTTTCATTCTACTGGTTGACTGTTCACCATTTAAAGGGTATTGCAAATATGTTTATTGCATATTGGAGTTTGGCTAATGTTTGTCTTCTTATGGAAAATCTTGGGTTCTCTTTATGTTTATAGTTGCTATTTTATTTTGGGAGATGAAGAGAATCATGAGCCAATTTATTAAGTGCCTTTTGCCTAATCCTGTTGTTGTTGTTGTCAAACATATGTTACTTTTACACGCCTTCTGCTCAAAGGACAAAACTACAGAGTTCTACACTCTGCAAACTTGCGAATAGAAACTTCAGAAATCTAAATATGAATCTCTACATTATCACATCAATTGGTCATAATAATGTTTTGAGTTATTATATGATTATTTGATACTGTTTTAAACTTCCTTTTTTTCTTTTTTGTTTGTATTGGATCTTTTATTTTCAATGGACTTCTCAAGAATGACTAGTGGAAAAGTAAAATGTTATGGCAATTATAATAAGTAATCAGCCTCCATGAAATATAATTGAAAACTACCATAACAAGTAAGAGTTGATTGAACCATATACTATTTTTTTGATGAATTAAAAAACTGCATATGCATATATTATATGTGAAATTACTTATCGAATTTTTATTTTTGAACAGTTTTAAGAAGATCGTCTATATAATGGATATTGACATGAGAACTCTTCCTACTACATTAATGATCTTGAGAAAGATACACCAAAGCATGTCTTTGATTAATTGATTGTATTTAGATGAATGTAGTTGTACTCTTCGATATAGAAAGATATTATACCTTATTTAACAACAAAACTCCTTTACGGGAATTGAGTTCATTCTGTTCTGCTTTTTATTTTGACGTTATTTTCATACAATACTTTATGTCCTTATCTATTTTCTTCACCAGGCATCGGAAGCATGGATGGAGTGGATTATAAAAAAGCGAAAAGCATTTGACCAAAGAGGTGACATGGCAATTGCAGCTTGGGCTGAACAGCAGCAGCGTGAATTGAATCTTCGTGCACGTCGTCTTGCTCGTTCTAAGGTATCAAGTCATTTTCTAGATGTTACGTGTGAAGTTCATCAATATTTAAGTTATAAAAGATTCTAACTTAATATGCTTTAATTCAGAAATTAATATTCTTCCATAATCATACAGTTCATATCCATCAATTTTTACTGGGATCAAAAACTTTCATTCGTATTTTTCTGTTGGATTAAAGAAAATAACTTGGTTGAAGGAAACTATGATGTTGCACGAAAGATTGTTAATGCGTCGAAAAAGGAAAATTTTACTTCTTCAACAACAAGAAGTGTTTTTGCCACTATATAATTTCAGATTGATCATTACTTCTTTATAATTGACCATCTTGATGTATACTATTTACAATGCTAACCGATCATGTTTGTTCATTGAATGTAATTTCAGATTGACCCTGAAGAGGAAAGGAAAATTTTGGCAAAAGAAAAGAAGGCATCCGTGGAGAATTTCAACAGTACCTTAAGGCGACATACACTGGTGTTGAAGAAAAGGGATTTAATGCGAAGAAAAGCAGAAGAAGAGAAGAAAAAGGTAATTAGCCGGCTTCTGGCTGCGGAGGGTCTTGAACTGGAAAAGGATGATAATGAAGAACTATAGAATGTAGATTCAAATGTGTGGTGTTTGCTCTCTGATACCTGATAAAAATTATATTTGCAATCTCTCTTGGTTGTATAAGATTTACTTTGATTTTACAAAACGATAAAAAGAATGTATATATGCTCTCCCTAGTGATACTAAAGAGTTTCATCTTAAAACTGTTTGCCATTGGATGGGGGAAGCTACGTATACACTTTTGATGTATACAATCCTTTGCATTCCCTTACATGGAGGGGAGTCCACACATAGCTCATGTTTGGTAGAAATTAAAATTTAGATTTTATTTAAGTCAATGTCAATAATTAATCTAAACCATCATAAAAATATGTTATTCATAACTTTTCAGTTACACATCTTGTTAACTTTTATTAAAATCTACTAAAAATTTGATTTTAATCCTCACCAAATGGGAGCATAATCTATTACGCGTGGCCCCCAATTGTATACATGGTAGGTGTATATGTAGTCTAATCCTATCTGGATAGATTATTCCTGCGTATAAAGGATTGCTAGTTTATACAATCAATTAAATTTAAAAAAGAATCATGTTAAGCATTTACTACAACGTAAATTATACAGAAAGTATACGATGTCAAATTTTGTAATATATGAAAAGAGTTAAAAGCGTCAAACTTACAGAGATTGTATTTTAATTTTGTACTAAGTATTATAATTGTGTAGCCTCTATTTTATCTAGATAAATGAATTTTTGAATCGATGTTTTTATGTAAACTAGGGATGATTGTGACAAATTCAATGAATAAATGAAGCTATAGAAATTAATATGATTTTCAAAAACCTGATTATCTCTAATTAATTTTTCATGCTTATAAGCAAGAATTCTAAAGTAATTCTCCTCACTCTTTCGAGTGTCGAGTAAAAATTAATTGCAATATTTTATTTTGAATTAAAATCAAGATTTATCGAGATCATGGTTCTTAGATGAAATAAACTTCATAAATTCTACACTTTCTCTCGAAACCCATGAAATCTAAGTTGTGTTATTATTGTGATCGCGCTTAAATTCCTCTCTCAAGTGCTAGAATTGAGGAGATTCAGAATGCGTTGGAAAGATAACTCGAAGTGCTACAACTTAGTTCAGATAACTTTTTTCAATTCGAACGTTTATAATGTCAAAAATGGGTCTTAATTTCTTACTGAAAATCTGAAACTTATTTGTGCGGTTGAAAATTGATTTGTGAATATATTTTGATTATATTTTACTCATTTTTTTTTTCTTCTAATTGCATCCAATGACTCCTAGTAATTTTCAATTATTATTTGTGGTCTGAATCAACTATTGAAAAGTAACAATTGAGTCTCAAACTTTGGATTTCGCTATTTTTCATTGTTATCCGCTTTTTTCTTTCAATTTAGCCTTCAATCGTTAGATTTCACCAAATCAACATCAACTTCTCCTTAATTCATGTCAAAATCACTACTTTCTTAAGTTTTGCATCATTCACACTAATTCACCTAGCCTATAAAACAACATAAAAACACAAATCAAAACGTTCCAAAATTCTAAGGATCAAATGAAATATCAAAATTAAGTAGCATTAATATGATAAATGAAACACTCTCATCCTTGTTGGATCTCGCCCTTGTCTCAATATTGTCAAGTCTAGACTCATCCCTATTGGACCTCGCCCCTGTCTCTGAAATAAAGGTCCCTGATATCATCCAATGATGACTTTCCTTCAGAAGTTTGATTATTGAACTCAGGTGGTGGCAATAGCACGTTCGCATTGTTACAATAAGAGAGTTTCTTATGGTTTCATAGTATTGCATGTTATTGGTTTGCTGAGTAGTTTCCTCTCTGTTTGAAGTTTCTACCATTTATATACTGAACTTGCTTATTCTCCATCTCAAACTCACGGTATGAGGTAAAAGTAGCCATGAAAGAATATGATTTTTTTTCTTTGAGTTCCTTGTGATGGGATCCACTTCGTAAAATCCAGCAACTTTCTTTGTGCTTGATCACTCAATTGGCCATTAATAGCAATTAATGGCAGTTCCATCCAACAATGAAAAGGCATCGTCCGCAGTCTTAGATATCTAAGTACCATCTGCTGCAGCTAGAGGTGTCAAGACGGACGGGCCAACCAGACCCATGAAAATCGGCCCGAATCGACCTGGGACCGCGAGGCCGACCCGGGACCCGAGTGGGCGGTTCATGGGTCAAGGAGGTGTGACCCGTGGGTTTTGCGGGTTGCACCTTCACGGGCCGCGGTTAACCCGCTGGCTCGTGAAAAAAAATTAAAAATTTTGAAAAAAATGGGGGGAGCCATTCGACCTGCTAGCAAGGCCAACTGACATTGCAGTTCACGTGTGAAATTGGCTTTTAATAAACAATTAATCTACATGACTAAAAGACTACAATAACCCTACAATATTAGGTGTCAAAAGAGGGGCTATGCATTGGGGGGGGGGTAATTTTGTAAATTAATAATTAAAAGTGGAGGTGGTTTTGGTCCTTTCAATTTCCAACGATCATTTCCTTTGCCGGTTTGTACCTGTGTGCAGACATGGGCCTACTTTAGTAAAAAAAGTTGGGTTGAAAAATGAAATTAATGAGATATAATCGGGCGCAAACAATGGCTAATATTTAATTTTTTTTCTAACGGTAAAATTGGATTTCATCTATAAATTCCAGTTAATTGGTAATATTTATCTCACTTTCAAAGTTTCAATTGCAAATATTATCATCATCTCTATTATATTTCTTTCTTCTCACTACTAAACTGTTTAATACTACTATATTATGGATTCTTGCGATTTTTCTTCTCAAAATCCTATTTTCAATGATAGTTGCTCCCCAATAAATTTAGAAGATGATAATGTTGTAGAAGTTGGATCATCTCAAAATTCAAGGAAAAAAAAAACAAAAATCAAAGGTGTGGCAAATTTTTACAGTAAATGAAAAGGATGGAAAAACAGTATGCAATATCTGCAAAAAAGATTATGTCTGGAGATATAGTCAAGGCACCGGCACGCTACGGAGACACAAAGAGAAACATCTAAATGAAACAAGACATTTGGATCCTAGACAAACTCAAATTACTGGTTTTACTAATGCTAGT